CGGTCTCCGGGTTCCAACAGCGCTTTCTGGCGGCTGGCAGCTGGCTCAGCTCTACGGCGATTTCAAAGTCCGTTGCAACCAGGTAGTCAGCAGGACACGTGTTGATATGCTTCCGAAGCTCCGCCGTGATGATGGTGTAGAGCAAGACCGGGTCGAACAGCAACACACCTCGAGCTTTGTGAAGGAGGAAGAGGTATACGCGGGACCTGTGTACTCCAGCGTGCCCGCAATCTGCTGGCTCCACTGGAAGCACCCACAGCCGGTAGTGCTCGCCCATCAAGATCGTTATGATATTGATCGGGAGATCCTTTGCTGTGTGATGGCTGCAGCTTGCGCAAATACATGGTTGCAAACACAAACAGCTTTCGCGAGCTACTTACTTGTAATGCTTCCTGACTTTCATACAAGGGTCCGGGACATTCTCAAGTATCAGAAGCGGTGTTTCAAGGGTGATGTGCTTGAAGGACCAAGCGATGTAGACACTGAAGCGTGGGTCTTCGTGAAACAACCTCCGGCCGGCTCTCGAATTTGGCTGGCATGGCAAGCCAGCCACTTCGACGTCGGCGCGCAGGTCAACACAACAGTGGCGCTGATGGCGCTGGCAGAACTGCTGGGGACAGAGCTTCGCCGCTCTGACTGCAAAGAAGTTCTCGGCAAAGCAGGCACCCTCGCGAATGGTTCCCGGAGGGTAAAGTTCCAGCAAGTCCTGGCGGCAAGGGGTCGGCTTTGGCACAGGTTGAACACAGGTGGCCAACACGTTAGGACTGGTGTTTGGAGTACACTCTAACCTTCGTTTGAGGTCCCTCGCCTCAAAAATGCACGGCGGCTCGTGACTGAAGCCGCTCACCTCGTTGGACCACTTGTGGTTGTCAATGATCAACTGATGGCATTCTTTCGCAAACTCCTCGGTTGACCAACCGGTATACCCAGGGCTTCAATGAGATTGACATTTACTATTTACTGTAAACGTGTGGGCGACGGTGACCGTTCGAGTGCGTCAGACCAGGAATCGTTTGATTATAAAACAGATGCTGTACGTTATTAGTCTTGCGTATCATTGATTGGTGGCAAGACATCAGCAAAGGCTCATGGCAGGAAACGCACTCCAGATCAACTTCGAAGTTGACCAGCCTGGACTCGTTGGTCGTGCGGGCGATCAGACTGAATCCCATCTCCGCAGTGTAGACCCCTGTGCAACTTGAAGAAGTGCGCTTGCCATTCTTCAAAAGACTTTCCTTATGTGCAAAAAAAGCTGTGATTCCATACTTCACATGAGGAAAAAACAAAGGGTTCAAATTCAAACATCAGGGTGCAACAAATCTGACAACTGTACAGTTTGATATTTCGAGGGTCTGGAAAGTTACCAGTTACCATGTGACTTGGGTTCTTCGTGCAACCACGCAGCTTGCAAGGCTGCGTAGGGCACTGTCCGTCTTGCCACATGCAGGGCCATCAGAAGCCAGCGGCCAGATTTTTCCAGCTCTGTGAGGCCGTCAAGCTCCTGCGGGGGATGGCAAGTCAAAGAGTCAAGCCTGCTGGACGCTCAGTTTTTTGGATTGTTGCTTTTTTAATCTCTACAATACGATTGAGTCCAAGCTAAGACATACTTACTTTGTTCAACAAACTCCTCGAAGGGGTTGAGGCTTAGCGATGACGTGCTTGGAATTGCAGCACTAGAGGAAAGGTCTGAGCTGGCCATAGACACAGACATGCCATCATCGTCATCGTCATCAGCAGCGCTGACGACAACGCTGTTTGCGTTGTCGCAAAACTGAGGAAATTCTGCTTTCATACTTGTTCTGCGACTTCTGAGCCACAGAAAGCTGCCCGTTAAATTTGTTCGGTGGGAGAGTCTCGCAGTGAGCCAGTGTTCCAAAATGGAAACCCTCCAAAAACAAATGGTTAACTTTAAACACAAACAAGGCAAGTAGGAATATCCTGAATGAGTATTTTGCTCGTTGTGGCTCTGAAACGGCCCCACTTGTTTCCCGGAGAAAGAAACACCAGTCTTTTTTCAGGACACTTTTCTCAGAAATGAGGCCCGCTGATACATTTAGCCCCTGGCCCGCTGATAAATAGGCAAAGCCGAGGCGCCACTGGCGGCCCCATGCCGCCAATGCAGCGGGCGGGCGCGTAAAACCAAAATAGCTCCTGGGCCGAGCGGTGCGGGTGGGGCGACAGACCAGAACATCGCCAGCCTTGCTTTTGCTTTTGTAAAGCTAGGGTGCTATAATATTGGCCTTGCGCCGTTGGAGTAATGGTAATGGTGTGTGTGGCATAGGGGTGATGCCAAGGGGCTGTCGGCCGCTTTGCCACGTTCGATCCGTCTATAAAGACCTGAGACTCTCAGCGCAGGGAAGAGCAAGCTCTGTGAAGAACAGATGGGCTTGTTTTCTTTACTTCCTGGTTTTTGACACTTGCAGTGGACTTAGTTGGCTGAACTACAAGTGCAGCATGTGCAGAGGCTCAGGCATGCCAATGCTTCACATCGGCAAGCAAGTTCTTGAACTTCTTGCGGTAGACTGCCTGGGCGAGATCACTCTGCTGCGTGATGAGAACAAAAGCGCAACTGGCATGTCGCTTGTCGGTGTTGACTGACAAACATGGCTGACATTGGCTGACCAACACAGGAAAACTAGGTTTCTGTTTCTCAACTTTCCCTTGCCTCACACAAGAAGCACCACTGAGTCTCAGCTTCGCCAAACACGACATCCTACGGTGCTTTGACCTAAAGGGATCAATGCAAGTTACTTGGAACCCAAACTGTGTTTAGTCTAATTACTGTTTGCCTGCAGTTTCAAACAACTTGTTGAAGTTTTCCAGGGTTTGAATTTGGGCCATCAACCAATGTTTGCATTGAAGGATCTAAGTTTGGCGCAAATGCCAATGGCTGAGTGCTATGTTATTTATGTAAACGCTGCTGAGTGTCCATTTCGAGAGTGGCGATCTGCGCCGGTCTGACCTTGAACCAGGTTTTCCGAGCCAAGGGTGTCGTCAGAGATTTGGCCGCGCTTGCCAGCAGAATCTCCTTAGAAGCAAAAATCTGCCTGACTCTAGTGACTACAATGTTACAACCTTTGCGGCTCTCGGAACAACAATACTCTGATAATGAACACAAAACCAAAAGTGCCAGAAACAACGCAGCGGTGGAAAACACAATCGACCTGACTAAGCCAAATGGCCTTGCGTTGCCTCACATGATCTTGGACTTGCCACATCACGGGCCGCAGGTGTGAAGCACGAGAGAGGCCGGACGTCTTGAAGTACTTGAAAGTAGCCGACTCTTCTCCAAGGGGCTCAGTCATGTCTTGAATTTTGGACTCAAACGCGTGACCTAACTGAGCAACTACCGCACGCCCGTGGTAAGCCAGATTTGGAAACTGCTTGTTCACGTGCGGGTCCAAGCAAAACAGGATGTAGTCGGCCACATGGATGTTGGTCGGGTCTGCGCGAGCTTCTGAAGTGAGCCAAACCTTCTTGGGGTTGTTGAGCACTTCTGCCCATGCTGCATCCAGGGTTATGTTCTCGGCAAAGAGTGTAAAGCAAGCAATGCGAGGCAACGATGCACGCCTGACTTCAACTTGGTGCCACGCGTTGTCCCCAAACCTAAGGACGTGCAAGACTTGGCCGTCTGAGCACACTTTGTTGATCAACGCGCGCAAGGACCGACATGCCAACCAGTTGCCAGGGTAATACTCTAGCCTTCTCACTGCAAACACAAGCGCTGCCCACAGAAAGCTGCTCGCAACTGTTTCGTGCAGAACTTTTGGCGCGGTCGGGTTCGTGCGTGTCAGAGTAACTCCGCCTGATGAGTAGCTAGAGGTTCCCTGTGGCACGGGCTGGCCTGGCCACACCAACATGTGTTCTGCCTCAATCTTTTGTTGGTTCTCACCAAGTTTTCGCAAGGTCTCCGAGCGGTCAGTCGAGCACCAAATCAGCCCAGAGCATTCTGAACGCACAAACAGACTTATCTTCGCATCTGCCCGGGAGGCAGGCCGCGTAGTGTAAGTCACCAAGCTGGAGTTCGTCAACGTGAGTAGTCCTGAGCAATTTGGTTTGCCATTACTAATGTTCTTGCAAACTAAGGGGTTGAATTTAAACAGGGCCAAAGAAACGAAAAGCTGAGCTGAACGCATTTCCACACAGATGCCATGTTGGCAAGAGACTGATATCCTCAAGCTCGTAGCGGGGACCAGGGTTTGCGGGCTGCGCCGGCTGAACCAGAGCCATTGCAAAGACACAGCTGGCGCTGCTCAGATGATCGGTAGTGTTTAGATTCGTCTGGTTGCAACATGTGGTCCAGCCAGTTGTCAATTCAACGGGTCTCATCTACAACAGTGCATGGTTCTGGAATTTCTGATCAACTATGCTGGGTCCGCTCAGCTCGTTCACAGCCATCGAGCCCAATGCTTTCAACCTACTCCAAAGAAAGCATTCAAGACCTGGATTTGACATGTTGGGCGTAGCGGTGGGTGTCATTTTCAAGCGCTTATCACGCCCACAAATCCGGGTGAATCAGTCGGGAACCTTTTGGGAACAAAATTCCTTTAGCACTGTTATAACACTCCTATAGCAGTGCTATAACATGTCTAAAAGGGGGGGGGGGTAAAGGGGGGGGGGTTTATGCTTTCTTAATAGTTACAATGGGGGTGGAGTTCTCTTTTTGCGTCTTTGTAGTCCTTTTGCCCGAGACACACCACCCCAAACAGTCAAATCAGCCTCAAACAAAAGCAACTTTATTAGGGTCCCCAGACCTGCGGTGTTGAGATCTTTGGTTGTCTAGGCCCTCATATTTGGCAACTGAGTCTCTTCAAGTGGGGTCCTAGACTCTATATGAGAAAGATAGTCAGAACATATGATTTTTGGAGGGCCCCCCCAGATGTGGGCTGCAAGTGGTTGCATTGTGACGGGTTCTCCATATAGTTCTAAGGAGTGGTTTCCCTTGTCGCAATCTGGACGGCATGTGAGGATGTTCCTTTCGTTGGGCCTGAATAGTTGGAATGAAGGTTGGGGTCCATTCAAGTTGCATGAGGGGTTCCGAACATTACTTTTGGGCCGCGTGTCCCTCTTTATCCATTTGGAGCCTTGGAAGTGAACCTGGCATGGCTCAAAAGCCAGGTGAAAAGATCCAAACATTCGCCCTCCTGACCACCAAACCGCCTCTGAATTGCGAGGGACGCCGACCCAGCAGCCCTTGAAAAAAAACCGTTTCGCCGCTCGATCCCTGCCGTGGTTTTGCTTTCGGTTGGCTCGGTACCGAGTCAGGACGATGGGCGGGGCGTGGGGGAGCCGCTGAACGAGACGCAGTACGTGACGCCGTACCTATCGAACCCCCAGGGCCAGCACTATGGCAAGGGCCTTGCGCCCTGTACGCAACAGTCCCGGGCTGTGTTGGGATGTGTCTTCTTCAGGGCTCCTTAAAAGATCTCCATTTTGCAACCATTTGAAACATGGATCTTTTTTCACCGAAATAAAGGGAAACCACCATTTACAAGGCAATGTTCAGGTGTATAGTGTAAGGATCCCTGCTCTTTTAGGTTGGTTGCGCAAGATGGCTTCGGTTTTCCGTTTGGCTTCCCCTTGCTCAAAAACCAAGCAAGAAGAGGGGGTTGTTTTGTTCGGAGTCATGATTTGATGGTTTTCTGTGGGTAGACAAGTCGGGTTGTTTCCGTTTAACCTACCACTGATCTGGGGTGACTTTGATCATGGCAAAATCATGGGACCAGTTTATTTTGGTGATGGCAACTTCCACTTTGGTTTAGGATGTTTAGGCATCACCTCTACTCACCGGCGTACCATTGTGCATCGTCCCCTTTTCTCGGTGTTCCAGTTGAGGTGAGTTTTGTCAGTTCATTGCAAACCCGATGGTTGTTTCAACCCTCGGGTTTGACAAGTTTGGTTCCTTTTATCTTCCCTTGGTGGAGTTTTTGAACATCACCTTATTGGCCCTAGCGAGTTTTCCATGGCGACTCCACGGGAACAGTTTCCTGGGCTCCACAGGGCTCCATGCCGTGGGTGCACGAAATCCATTTCGCACCACCCAAGATTTTTGCTGGCAAACACCAACCAATAATGGTTTCAACCAGGGTTTCAAAGTGATGCGAAATGGATTTTTTGCTCTTCCACAGTAAGTCCTTTCGCCTCCGAACTCCACTCAGCGGGTTTCTTCGCTCGCCCCTATCGGCACCTTCGATGGAGGTGGTGCGGGGCCAGCATTGGCTCAGCTTCGAAGCGCCAAAGAGCGCCGCGAAGTCCTGGCGCCCGCTGATGGACCGCGTCTACATGGCCCCTGCGCCCTTCTTCGGGGCCCAAGGCGGGGGTTGGCCTTCGCCTTGCGACTCGTCGGGGCTCAGAACCGGGGGCTTTGGCCCAGGTGGCGTTTCGGGTGTTAAGAGGCAAAACAAACAGAGAGGGCGATGGATTCGCGGCTTGGCCGGTGGCTAAATCTACTTGAGTCTTATTGCAACGGCAACATGGCAGTCTGCTTTTTTTGTTGGATCCAGATCCTTTGCCAAGCACAGGTCCTCCGAAACAGGAGCACCCGAAAGATCAATCCGACGAAATCCAAACCGAGCGCCATCCACCGAAGGGCATGGAGTCTGCGCGTATGGTTTCTTTTCCCAGCCTCTCTCCAATCAAAACTGACCGGAAGGCATCGCGGCATCGCCAGATTTAGCTTACCTGGTGGACCGAAAGACCTGGACTCAGATTCCATATTGCTTGGTCGGGGATGTTTGCCTGGGGGCCACACTCGGGACCGGAACAGTAGGGCACCGCCTCAACAATGAATGGGTGAAAGCCGCCCTGTTGATTGTTATATTTCGGGCGGACTGCTTGAACGATCACCTGGGGTTAATGTGATAAGTTGTTGATGTGACCTGAGAGAGGGGACACCCAAAAGTTATTGATCCGGCTTTCCCTGTAGGCACCATTATTTGGGGTTGAATTTCCCCACGATGGAGACGCGGCTGTGTGACTTGACGCAAGCCCTATGTCGATCTACTCCCGCCATCCAGTGGCCAAGGAACCACCCCGAACCGAACCGCCGAAGGGTTCCAAGGAAGGGCCGTTGCGTCGTGGAAAAACAACAAAATCTAAGACATGCAGACTTTGACTTCGCCACACACTGCCTGTGTATCACTCTGGCCGCAGGCAAGCCCTTCGCCGCGGTTGAAAAGGCCCTGCCTCCCAACCTGGAGGCGTGGAACAGCTGGAAAAACCACGCCCGGCGCCCCCCCCCAGCCTTTGAAACGTGCCCAAGGGTTCAACCCCCATTAAAAGAAAGGCCAGGGCCCAATTTGGAGGACAATCCTTCGGCAAACCATGGCGGTTCATATGAACCCCCATTGTTTTATTGGTTTGAACCCAGGGCATAGTGAGCATCCGTTAGTGGCCACAGATTCACATGTCTCTGGTGTAGCTAGTGAAGGGAAGCTGAACTTGGCCGAAGGCCATCCGTTCAACTTAGTTGTTTAGTGGTTTTTAGTTGGTGAAGTGGTAATTTCCATGTGACCCAAGAAGAGTTGTTCACTTTTCGCAGGGGAGCCCAGGGCTTAAAAATTAATGAACCCCCCTATTAATCAACCCCTGTTTATTACTATGGGGGCGGCCCTGGTTGTAGTTGGGGTTCATCACTTTTGGAGGGGAGCACCCCCATATTTATAAATGGGGGTTGATTTTTTGGGGGTCAACATTACTCCAAACGCCTGAGATGAAGCAGTGATTCCCAGTCCCTGATTTTGTAGCTAATGAAGGGAAGCTTTCGAACTGGCCTTCCAACAGTCATCCATTTGGCTTCAGGTCTTCCAAAGCCTGGAATCCGAAAAACGCGCTCCCGAAACAAAAAGACGACCACAAAAACAAAAGGGTCCCCGGCCTACACCCTTGGCCTTTCTTGTTTCATTGCTCCCTGACTGTGTGTCTTCATGCTTTTTCGGGAAACCAAGCCATTTGTGGAGTTGGTGTCCACTCAGGAAGTCCACTCAAAATGGGTGTTTGTTGGTATCGGGCCCAAAGATGGTTGAACTTTGCCTTTGGTTTTCCTGCGAGATCTTTCCTTTTGTGAGCTCAAGCCACAAACCCACTAGTTGCGTAGGAAGCCAAAGCGAAGCCAACTATTTCGGAATTCATTGTCTCTATTTTGAGACAAACCCCGCCAAGTTGTTGCGCAGATTCTTGGTTCCTTACGCTTAAGTCCTGCCATGGGGGGGCTGAAGGTTAGGTTTGTTCCCTCAAACATGGATGCCTTCCTCCCTAAAGCACGGCCCGGGTCCTGGGTTCCATGTTCATTGCCAGACATGCCGAACCTTCATTCACCTGGATCTTCCAACTGCACGTTTTTTTCTGCTCGGAAATAGATCCGTCCGTTTTCGTGAAAACCATGCCGTTTGCTCAAAAACATCAATACGGAAAGGAAGACGGACAGCAAAAAGTACGCTTCTTGAAGTTGCGCCCGTTTGCGCAAAAGTTGCGTCCTTGTGCGGGGAATTGCGCCCGTTGTGCGGCCTAATTGTTTGGCAGGAATCTCGCTCTTTGACACCCTTGTGCACAAGGTCCCCAAAACACGCTCGTTTCCAAAAAAGCGTGCGTGTCCTCAACAACAGCCGTTTTGCTGAAAAGCATCCGTTTGGGGGTGGGAACAGAACAAGCATGCCAAATGAAGATCCAGGCAGTGTTCCATCCTTTTCGGGTGCCCCCTTCATTTACCCTCTTCGCTGGGTGCTTTAGCTATAATTTATAGCCCGTATTTGTTCAGTTTACTTAAGGAGAAGCCGAAAGGATGGGTAGTTAGCACCATATAAGCTTGCAACGCCCCTATATACCGCTCGATTCTATTGACAATGGCTGGATACCTTCTAGCTGGAATCAACTGGGTTGGCTACTCCAAACCGGCACCCTCAAGGAACCGCCGCTTTTTCCTACGAAGGCCCTGGACCATTCTAAGCGCTGTTGACCTGCGCAGAAGCCCTTCGAAGGGCATGGCAGAAGGGGTTTGGGACCAAGAACCCGCCAAGAGGCAAGGCCTCGTCTAACGAGGCACCCTAGCGATGCCACCTTGTGGTGACTCTTGGGTGGACCCCAACGTTGATCGATTGAGGAAGCCTTGGAAGAATCCTGGAAACCAGACCATGTTGTCCAACGCGTTCTTGTTTCGGAGTCGGGCCTCCAACATGGCTTGTTTCCTTTTGGCTTCCCTTCAAAACCACCACACCCAGCCGTGTCTTTTGTTGCGGGGTGTGCAGATTGTCACGCTGGCACCTTGGGACCAGAAGACGCTGCTGCTCCGTATTGCGCACCAGTTCGGCTTGTCCGAGGAGCGCCGGGTGGCGCCAACTTGGGCGGGCTTGGGCGCGGAAGAATTTGCCAAAACGAGCAGGGCCTCGGCTATTTCAAGGCGAACCCATTTGGAGGGTTCAAAACGCAGGTGTTGAAGCAGCTTACCGGGTTTCCCGGTTTGCCCCAACCCTAGAGGGTCAAAGTATTTTTTCTCTCGAGGTACTGAAGGACCCCTTTTTACCCCCCCCCAAAAGCCCTCAGGAGCTACTTGGACTCTTTTTTCTGGGAAGTGTGTTGGAGAGTTGTCATTTCTGCGCTCGGATTCGAAAGACAGTTGCTTTGCCCTTGCATTCGCTCGCCGGCTCCAGCGACAGAGTCAGCGGCGAGCCAATAGCGCTGCTTTGGTCGACCTTTTGATGTATTTGAGGGACCATCCTGCATAAATTGCCCCGACATGCGGGTTGCTTCCTTTCCCTTTTTGGGAGGGGGCCTTTCAACTTAACCAAGAAAGGGTTAGAAACTCAGGGACATTTACAGGTTTTCTGAGGGGGCCGATCCCTGCGCGACCGATCGACCGATCGGATCTTGGCTTTCGCGATGGCACTGGTTCTTTCGTGCTCTGTGCCCCGCGGCGAAAGAATGGATGGGACGGGTCGTGAGGCGTGTGAGTGGCCAACATTTCCTCCCGAAACATCGACTTCTTGCGCCAGAATGTCACAAGGGAAGTGAAGGGAAGGGACAAGTTCTACCGGAATCGATGCGGCCACCCTTCAAACTATGTACATGTTTTCTTGGTAGACCTTTTCCCGTGCGGTTTCAATCACCGCTCGAACCCAACTTTTTATTGCATCTGCTTGCTCCGGTTGTGCAAATTGGAGCCTTTGGCAAGCAAATCTCTGGAAAGCTCGACTGCGGCTTTTGGCAGATCCGCTGACGTCGCTTTGTTGCCTGGTAGTACTGTGGATGGACAAATTCCTGCACCACTTTGAATCCATGGGAAACCATTGCTTGTTGGTATTTACGGGGGAATCATCCTTCCAGGGTTTCTTGGGTGGTGCTTAAGAGGATTTTGTCCACCCACAGTATTAAGTATATAACGTATGTGTTCCTTTGTGGGAGGGTTTCACCTTCAACAACAGAAAGGGATAACAAGGGTAAGTCCTTCTCCCTTTCCTGGCTGGTGTGTCTGTTTCTGAAGAATACCCCTAGAACTGCGTTGTCTTCAAAGCGAGGCTGCAGGGAAACCACTGGTTGCAGCAAGCCTTCTTGACTTTTTGCCCGGCAAGTTTGTCTTCAATGCACGTCAGCCAACAAGGAACGTTGTTGATCTGCTACCCGACTTTGTTGTTCTGAAAAAGCTTTCCCTTTGCAGATCAGATGAACCAGGTTTCCCTGGTTTCCACCTTTGATATCGCGCAAGCAAGTATTTCGAAACGTCATAGAGTTGTTTTTCTTCTTCTTTTTTCTTCTTTTTTTGAAATGCATTCAACACATCCTTTTTAAGTTAGTGTAGCCAAAGGAAGGTTGGTCTTCATGGTGGTTTTCAGAATTGATTGGCAGGCTCAACTGCCTGGGTCAGACTCGTGTTTGGTTTCTCTTTTGGTCCGATCAATTGGCCAAGAGCTATCATTATGACATTTTTGCAGCCACACACTGAGGTGTCTTGAAATATTTATTTTTTCAAAAAATCATCGATTTCATGATCCTCAACACTATCCTTTTTTTATCCTCATCGTTTGTCATTATCCTCCAGATTATCATTTTTTTATCCTCATCGTTTTTCATTATCCTCAAGCCTGCCTGCCTGCCTGCTCGCTCGCTCGCTTTGCTTTGCTTTGCTTTGCTTCGCTCGCTTGCTTTGCTTTGCTTTGATTTGCTGGGCTTGGCTTTGCTTGGCTTGCTTTGGTGGGTTTCCTTCAGCTTCAGCCATGAAACAATTTAGTTGGAGCCATTTTGCGCAAGAAATGTCTGACGGTGGCTGTGTTGAAGCTCGTTTCAAATCGTGTTCCAGGCTGGAGAACAGGGGAGGAAAATAGGGAGGATGATTTTTGGAAGGTTGATGTCAGGCAGGATAATTTGTTGGATGATTTGTTGAAGATGGATTCCGGTCAGGATGATTTTTCGAAGATTTTTCGAAGATTTTTCGATGATTTTTCGAAGATTGTTCGATGATTTTTTGAAAAAAACAGGAGGGTTTTGCAACTTTTTGCTTTCCTGACCACTGTGAAGGGGGGTTGGTCCAGAAAATGTGGGTTGGGGATGATTTTTCGAAGATTTTTCGATGATTTTTCGAAGATTTTTCGATGATTTTTCGATGATTTTTTGAAAAAAACAGGAGGGTTTTGCAACTTTTTGCTTTCCTGACCACTGTGAAGGGGGGTTGGTCCAGAAAATGTGGGTTGGGGATGATTGTTCGAAGATTTTTCGATGATTTTTCGAAGATTTTTCGATGATTGTTCGATGATTTTTTGAAAAAAAACAGGAGGGTTTTGCAACTTTTTGCTTTCCTGACCACTGTGAAGGGGGGTTGGTCCAGAAAATGTGGGTTGGGGAAGATTTTTCGATGATTTTTGAAAAAAAACACGAGGGTTTTGCAACTTTTTGCTTTCCTGACCACTGTGAAGGGGGTTTGGTCCAGAAAATGTGGGTTGGGGATGATTTTCGAAGATTGTTCGATGATTTTTCGATGATTTTTTGAAAAAAAACATGAGGGTTTTGCAACTTTTTGCTTTTCCTGTCAGTCTCAGGAAGAGGAAGAGTGAAAAGGGAAAGAAGGAACAGGGCAGGGCAAAGAGAATTGGAGAGGACAAGGAAGAGAAAAAAGAGAAAGGAGATGGAACATGGAAACAAGAAGAGGGAAATGGAAAAGGGTAAGGAACGGGAAGGAACGGGAAGGAAAGGAAAATGGAAACGCAGAGAATAGAAGCGATGTGGAGGAGGGATGAAGGAGGAGGGAGAGGATGATTTTTCGATGATGTTTTTTGCAGAGGATGATTGTAGGATGATTTTTGGATAGGTTTGAGGATAACCAAATCGATAATTTTTTGAAAAAATAAATATTTCAACATTTCCAGTCTCTGGCTGGCTAAAAAAATCATATCACGACAGCCAGCCTCTTGCCTTTAGGGCGCTAGCTGAGTATTATTATTGTCGGGCGCTGGAGGGCTCGAACCTGGTCCGCTGGTGCTTGTTTGCAGAGGCCTTTTGGGCTGGTCCAGGGCTCAACTGTCCGTGGTGACTTGTTCGTCCCCCCAGGGCGTTGTTCTCGACCCCATCCACCGAGTCCACAAGACAACGTTCGCCAATCCAAACCAGCAGGGTTCAAGCAATCACTCGAACCGGTCAACCAATCCCAACTGCCAGAAGGGTGTTGCATTCCCGTACAACGCCTCGATTCTTGCTGGGTCGCTGATTCAATGAGTTGCTTGATTGATTTGACTGATTGAACGAGTTGCTTGATTGATTTGATTGATTGATTTGATTGATTGATTGATTGACTGACTGACTGATTGCTTTCTTGCTTGATTTGATTGATTTGATTTGATTGATTTGATTGATTGGTTGGTTGGTGGATTCATTGATTGACTGACTGACTGACTGCTTGCTTGCTTGCTTGATTGATTTTATTTGGTTGATTTATTTGATTGTTTTGATTGATTGATTGGTTGGGTGGTTGGTTTGGGTTGGTTGGTTTGATTGGTTGATTGGTTGATTGGTTGATTGGTTGATTGGTTGATTGATTTGATTGATGAATTGATTGATTGATTGGATTGATTGATTGATTGATTGCTTGATTGCTTGGTTGGTTGGTTGGTTGGTTGGTTGGTTGGTTGTTTTGACTGATTGATTGATTGCTTGCTTGCTTGCTTGCTTGGTTTGGTTTGGTTTGGTTTGGTTTGGTTTGGTTTGGTTTGGTTTGGTTTGGTTTGATTGAGTTGATTGATTTGATTGATTGATTAGTTTTATTGGTTGGCTGGTTGGTTGGTTGATTTGATTTGATTGATTGGTTGATTGATTGATTGATTGATTGATTGATTGATTGATTGATTGTATTTATTTATTTAGTTATTGGTTGGTTGATTGGTTGATTGATTGGTTTATTGATTGATTGCTTGATTTGGTTTGCTTTGATTTGCTTTGATTTGATGTGAACAATGGGTTGGTTAGCGCCATCATCGGGCCGAGCTCCAACGCGATGTGGGTAAGCTGCGTAATGGCTGCGCGACGATATTGACAAGACGGGCAAAAAGCAAGCTGGACAAGGCCACAAGCATTGTCAAGAGTGTATGCAATGGCACGCAATGGGCGGTGGAGTCCTCAATGTCAGGCTGTGTCACCAACTTCCAAGAGCTTGTTGCCACTGAGGTCCACAAGTCCATCAAAGTTGCTATGGGCCTTCAGTGGCAAAGCATGATGGAAGCTGGTGACACTCATCCTCATCCACTGCTGTCAGACTGGTCCAATCGTGAACTGTCATTTCTGGATGTAACCATGTTTTGCTTCCTGGCTGCGAGGCACCTTCAGCAGAAAAAGCCATGGAAGGGAGCCAGACAGGCATTGCTCAAGCTGCTCCGGGGATGGTCTTCTTGCTTTGCTGACATTGTGACTGATTTGTCAAGTGCTACCATCAGCCACTCTATGACGAGCGCCTGCAGGCCAGGACATTGAAAGCAGCAAGGACATAACATCTGGCATGAAGCCCAACGCAGTGATGTCGCACTCATTGCATTCATAAACTGCTGCGTAATGTGAATAGGTTGGCCCCTTAACCGGGACCGATGATCAGCGTGACAATCAAGCCTCAACATGCCAGCGTGCCAAAATGGACATGGATGATGTGCGGAACTTCATCAGTGAAAGCCACACCAAGAATGTCAGCCTTGAGGCCTTGGCTGAATTCCGCTCGGAAGACACACCTGGACAGGAATTCTAAGATGCGATGTGACTTATCAAATGTCAGGCGTGAGCCAGTTGTCACTTGCACCATGGATCAGGGGCCAAATCAGACACAGGTTCATCAGAGACTGAAGCTGGCTGAATCATCTGCCCAGGCTTGAGTCAAACAATGCTCATGTCGTCATATGTCATGGCGCGGCCGCGGTGCTTTAACTTGTGAGCTCAACGGAGAGCTGGCTTAGCACACGAGCAATATCTTTGTTCAGTTCGATGATATTTTGACTTGGCTCTGACCGAGGAAAGCCTATGTGTCCAAAATCGCAAGTAACTTCATCATGGACTGTGGCACTCCTGATGAGCAATAGGAGATTCGGAATCACGTGTCGAGATGGCAACGTGGACTCTGTCAACTTCCCAAATCAGGGCGCTGGCTCTCCTGTCATGAGTCAGCTCAGGAACATGCCCGGGCATACAGCATTGAGATCCTGGCCGTGGGCAATGTTGGCAATGACAGAGTGGTGCCTTACCTAGTCAACGTCCTTGGGCAACGAACCAGCTCATTCGCAACACATAGCTGCCCTCCTGAATGCTTTGGAGTTCTGGCTGTTTGCTTTAGTCACTGAGTCTTGCAAACAATGGAGACCAGTCACATCAGCGCGTAACGCAGGCAATGAAGAACATGCGTCGCATGTCGAAGCTGCCCATCACCTGCAGCTCAGCTGGCTGAAGATGTTCGCATCAATTTTGCTGCAAGTCAGGCAAGGGCAAGGGCAAGATCAACAAGGGCAAGCGCGGCACGTGGGCCGACCTGGCTAACTTCTGGTTCAACAGGTAAAGGTAAAGCCGGGCACCGACCTGCCGTGAATGCCACGCCCAGGAGACTCTTGCCTATGGAAGTGAGCTTGAGTCAGGGCATGCTGGGTCAAACAGGACAAGACTGCCACTATGATTGTGGATCCGAATCAGCGGCCAGATCTGCTATGGGAGGGGGTTGGTGCGTGAACCTAAGCCGGAGCAAGCCACACGTTGTTCTCCGTTGAGCCCTGAGCTCGCTTACATGGCACTGTCCGTCGGATCACCCAGGCCTGTTTTTGACAGGACGGGCCAGCGCCCGGCCACCAGTTAGCCGAGCTTGTTTGGGCTCCAAGGCCGGTCAAAATGTGCACCCTACAGCATTTTGAGAGTGTTCACTTTGCAGGCGCACGCCCGGACCGGGAGTGAGCGGCCAGCAGCCAAAAAACAGAACCGGGTCAATTTTCCCACGGGCCGAACCTTAGCAGGGCTCATCTGCTGCGTCGACCAGTACGCTCACTTCTTCTCATGCCCGCATACTAGTTTGATATAGCGCCAGCACGCGCCAGGCTCTTGACAACAACCAAACAGACAGTCATCCGCCTACCTCCACAGATGCACTCTAAACAACAAAGGAGTGCGCGGGTTGGTGTCCAGATTCCAACCCGTACAGGCTGTCACACTTGTGTAAATCCTTGCGGTGCCCAGCTGCGGACAGGCCAGTGGTTTTTGCTTCCAAAGTTCGGCTGATGCGCACGGTAAGTGAGCCACGGGCGCCTCACTGAAGCAGGAAAAGGCTCAGTAAACACCGTGGTGAGCGCATGTAAGTGGGCTTACCTCCACTGGGCATGCTTGTCGGCTGAGCAAAGAGAGGTCTCAGTTCGGCCCGCAACATTTTTATGACCTTCCCTAGACCTTTCCATTGGGAAACCTGGAAAGCGAAACGAAGAGGCTGACAACAACTGCGGGCTTCGCGTGGCAGAGCGCTAGGAAAAATAGCCAACGGCTTCTCCTGAAACGGCTGAAGTCTTAGCAGCCCTGAGCTTGCCAAAGACCAGTGAGCGAGCTGTGCCTGGACAACGCGTGGCTTGCTTGAGGCCATCGCGGCAGCGTGGCTTGCCGAATTTTAGAGCGCGGCTCCCGGCCTCGCTAACGCGCCAAAGAGAACACGGTCCCGCGATTAATTGCTCTTCAGGGTTCAGGGCCTGCCAAAAGGTGCAAAACCAAGTGTTCCACCGCCCAGCGGCATATCCCCACAAAACACAGACCCCATAACTTTAAACTGAGGTTGATAAATATGGGGTCAACATGAAGCAAGAAAGGAACTTACGGAGACCTTTTGCCAATGGATGGAGTGCAGGCTGAGCCAAGCTTCCTTGGCCACCGCTTTGGCGCATCCGGATGCCTGGGCTTTGGCAGCGCCGGTGGCGCTCTGGCGCAAGTTCTCGGAGGCAGAAGCGAGGGAAGGAGGGAAGTTCTGCACGGCCAGGTTCTCTTGAAAAACGTACGGCTACTTCAAGCAAATTTTGCATGTGCCCCCCCCCCCCCAAATAGTGTCCCCCAAAAAGGAATGCCCTCTCTTATTAGCTTGTTGTGTTCCATGCTCTTACGGGTCCTTGTTGGTTTGGCTGAGACAATGGGTTGGGCGATTCTTGGTTGCACGCTTTACACCTGATTCAATCATCCAGGCAATCCAGGCAAACCCATTTATTGTCCAGAAGGACATCTATGACCAAAAGGTTGTTTAAACAAGTACAGTAGCCGAAACAGGTTGACACGAGCCAACCTGGGTTCCACCCCCCCCCCCGGCCCGAGAAGGCGCCAAGGCACTCTTTGGGTGCACCAGAAGATTGATTTCCGGGTTGTGTGCCGTTTGAGTTGGGCCTGCTATGTCAGGTTTGCCTTTTGGCTTGGTTTTTTTTACTACTCCAGCATGTTTTCCATTTGCCTTGCTTAAGTTTGATGAGTTTTTCCCTTTTGGCTTTAAAGGGAACCCATTTGTGTTGTTTTCTTTTTTGGGGGGACTTAAGCAAATGGAGGATGCGTTGTTGGCTGCTGACCTTCATCATGTTTACAACCCCTGATCCGTTTGGGATAAAGTGGTTTCTCCCCCATAGCAACCCTTTGAGTGTTGGTTGCAGAGGCTCCACGACCAAACGATTGTATTTAGTTTTGGCCTGGGGCTATTTCCTGGTTATTGCACAGCCTGTTGTAGGACCAATAGGTTTGATCATGTTTGGCGTCTGATCTTTCGGCACTGGGTGCTGCTTGGGTTTCTCATCTTGTTGGCTTTGAACCGGCTGAGAGTCCAGTCCCATTCTGCCTCCGGAGGAGAAAGTCATGAAACAGGTCTCCTAAGATACAGCTTTCGCCAGCAGACCAAAGGGAACCTGCCAACCGCCCCTCCCCCCCCAATTTGTTTGGGGCGTAGTGTTCAGGAGTAGTGTTCAGGATCGTGCACGAACCCCTCGATCTGTGCAACTTTCATCAAATTTCATCGCGGCCGAAGGGTTGAAGGTTCTGGCAGCAGGCACGATGGCGGAAGCGTCGCGGGTTGGAGGGGGTAGCCCGAATCAAAGGGCACCACACTCCTTTTCATCTTCAGGACCAGTGCCCTTTGATTCTGGTCTCGCTTGGTGTTCAACCCATTTCAACCCCGTTTTTCCGCCCTTTTCAACTAACTCTGAATTTGGCCTTTCTTTGGTTCCCCTTTCACTAGGTCCCCCAGTGCCCTTTTCCCCTTTTTTGGGGGAGGGTTCCCGGTTCCCCTACTAAAATAGACGACAGAAAAAAGGGCACCCTTATTCTGTCCTCTCTACTGGAGGACCTAGTTGAAGCCCCAAAATCGGAGCCAGTTCAAACCACCGCCCAGCTAGTCGCAGGTGCCGGAGGGCGTGACGGATCCCTTCAACGACAGCAACAGCATCAACTTCGTTCCGCCCAACTGTCACGGCATCTCGGATGCGATGCCGGGTCCAAGGCCGTACCCTCAGAAAATGAGGTACGACTAGAGTCTTCATGGTTATTTGGTAACGGATCTTTTGGACTTTAACTTGTTGGTTGAAACAGTTCGGACATTCCATTCACAAAAAGCACAACTTTTTGCAGAGGGGTCTTGCCAGCAACCAAGAAGTATGGCGCAGATTGAGGGGTATGATTGCATGACCTTCAGGGTAGGACTCGTAAATCCTTCAGGCTGCGACTCTGAGGTAAGCAAACATTGTTTTTGCCCCAGGCCCTCGGAAGTTTTTGGGCTTTTGGAAAGGCTGCCCCCATGATAGTGTTGGCTCGTACTTATTTCGAGACAAACCCAGCCGGACTTCTGACTTATTCACAGAGGATTGTCAAGCTGGCGGATTCATGGGGGGTGTTTGTATTGCGAGTTTTGTTTGCATGTCCTCTCTTCAGTCTTTAGCGCTTTTACAAGCCACGACTCTATCTGGTCCTGTCACTTGAGCTCACCATGAAGGTTTGACGACTTGCAAATAGTCTGCTGAAGTGTTGCGTGCGAATGCCATTTGTGGTCTCGGGGCAGGCAGCTGGGGGCTGGGGCTCCGCGCATGTGGCATAGGGTTGACTTGTGAAACATACACAAAGCACATGATCTTGCGCGAATATACCTCAGAGTTGGGTCGGGGGGGGGGTGACACCACAAAGACCCTGGCCCTACATGCTTGACTCCGATTTGTCTCTTGACCCAGGTGTTGAGGGAATACAGCGAGACTACACCAGGACCTGGTCCTTTGGTTTCATTCCCGTGGTATTCCCAACAGCTCCCTTTGCACTTCGGAATCCATAGCCAGTTCGCTGTCGGGAAGTAACGGGGACCTGAGGCACATGAAAACAAATAATATATATATAATTTGTTCTGGTTGAAGGTGATGTGAGCGCCTTAAGAGGCGAAACCGCACATCATATTGTGTCAGTTCAGGGAATTCAATGCTTTATCTAAGGAGGGACATTTGCAATTTGTGAGACTTTTGTCCATGGCACCTGTACTGTTTACTGGCGTCTCCTCCAAACATGTCCTACATCTTAGAGTCTTAGAGTAGATGACATAGAAAGCGTACTCAGATATGGCCATGGGTCATAACTTATGCCTTCATTTTGGGGCGGATGAACACCCACGTACCGCCTATGTTGATGTTCACCAGGGGTACAGAGTTTTGTCCCACAGCCATATGATTTTCAACCCCCCATGGGCCAACTGCCACAGGAAGCCACGACTCGAAGCGAGGTCCGCTGGCCGCGTCGGCGGGGATTCTGCTGGTGTGGTCTCTGCACCTCCTGCGGCAAGCCTTGGCCAATGTCTTTCGCGCCGCCTGGCGAATGGGATCGTTTGCTTCCAAAGCAACGCCGGCTTCTCAGTGGCGGGGTACTTGGTAAGTGGAAACCATGGTTACAACCGACTTTCCATGCTACCATTTGGTTCAGAACTGCTTCCCTTTACTTGGCTTTGGCGCATGTTGCCAAGGGATATTAGGACTTGAACTTTTTGCCAAATGGATTTTCCGTATTAAACCACTAAAAGTTACACACTTGCCAAGGGAGCAGAACGCAACCGAGTTAAGAATATTTGGTTATTTTTGCCTGTTGGTTTTAAAGGGAATCGATTTCACCACTGGAAATCATTTGTGTCCGGGGCACTTAAGCAAATGGAGGTTTGTGTAACCGGTGAGGGTCCTGAAAGGGGTTTCCTCCAAAACTGTGTTAGGGTAGGCTAATGAAGCAGAATCAGGACACATTTTCCTGAGGGCTACTCATCCTATTAATCCAACCAGGTTTTCTTGGCCAAGAAAGCCTGGGTAGATGAAGGTTGTGGGAAACTTGGTTTAGGTTGCAAAGTTTTGTGATACCAAGGGAATTCCCTTCAAAGTAGTTGTGGGAATGACCAACCTTTGTATCATAGGTTTTGATTGTTTCTTGCGGCCATGATGAAACAAGGAAGATGAAGGAGGGAAGCTGTAGTCCCCATAATAAAGTGCGGCTGTCTTTGAATTTCTTTACATGGCTTTTGGTAGACCATGTGAATACCAATGTTTGAGTATGACTGGCAAATGCTAGTACTCACATGGGCAGGGTATGAATCACCCCCTGACGATGTTTCACTGACCATGGTTGTAAGTCCCCAAGCAGGTTGCAAGTTAGAATCATGGTTGCTGATCACGGACCAAGTGCCCCTGGCAAGGAGGCAGAGTTTCGGCTTTAGTTTTGCAGCAACATCCAGAAGGTTTCGGAACGTATGGTCGCGCCCTTCGGGCTGAAACCCGGAATTTCTCAGTGGGTTTCCCTAAACAAGTCCCACAAAAACTAAGGCCGGTTTCAAAGCAGCGGCTCTTTCCAGTGGGTCCAGCGGGCATTTGGAGGTAACCCCAACCTGCTTGTGATCTCCATGTAAGGTTCGGCAGTCCACAGTTCCGATTTGCGCAAGTTTCCCCATCCTTAGAGTAACAGCGAATATGTTGTTCGTGGCTCAGGGGCTCATGTGGGCTGGAGGCTTCTTGTACAGGTCTGACGCGTCTCGGAAATCACGTAGCAAGGAAAAGCTGGCATCTGTTCTCACCTGCCCAAAACCAACCTTTTGACCTTTCGGCGATGGTTGATCCATTTTTGGTCATAGCCCCAAAAGCTGATCACCTTCTATTTCCGTTGTCCTTTGGGCAACTGAGCTTGAAAACCAGAGAGTCACTGGAGCCGGGGTCTTGAAAAAAGCGAAACAAAAGGAAAAAACATGAAGAAAAAAAGAAACACAAACGAGGAGGAAAAAACACACGGGTTCCGCGCCCACCTTGTGTGTACGTAGGTCACCCCGAGCTTCTTCCTCCTCTTCGCCCTGGCGGCCTGGGGCCTGTGCGGCGCGCCTCGGGCGGATTGGCCTGCTGTCACGCATCAGCTTATCTAGGCTCAGTTGTTCAGTGGCACCCTTTTTCCCTTTTTTTGGTGGCTGCCCCACTGAAAATGGTCTTCCCCAAAAAGGATTCACTTTTTTCCGAGTGTCACTGAACAACTGAGTAGGTTTTGGCTTGCTCTAAAACCCTTGGTCTGGGTTTTGGCTTAAAATAAAAAAGTTCGGGCCCAGGTAACCTGGAGCTCAACCCCTGTTTATTATCAGGGGGTTCAACCTGGGTTAGTGGGGATTCAGACCAGTTTTTGGAGGGGCCCCCACCCCATTCATAAACCGGGGGGGTTGATGAACATTAACCAAATTTTGAGTTGAGTCAGTGGTCCACAACACCTTGGGGTATTTGGGGCTAAACCTATTGTTCAAAGGGTATTTGAGGGATGATATGTTCCCCCCCCCCCCCTCACTAAAAAAATGGTCAAACAACAACTCATCACCTCACCCACGATCTTGAAACCCACCACGAAGATTGAGAGATCTCGATCCAGTCAGGGCGTATTTTCGGGATTTTGCTCATATGTGGAGGGCCCCTCAATTCTCCTATTCGTGAACCGGGGGATGAAAAAAAAGCGGCGCGACTTCAATCCCTTCGGCTTCAAATTGTTGGCTTCAAACCTTTAGGTAACTGGATGCGGGAGAGAAGGCCAAAACTTCAAAGTTTTCATACACAAACTTTAGCAAAACATGATTTCATATCTTTTATCACAAGCGAACATGTACCAAACTGGCACCTTGGTAAATGGACCCAAAGACTAAAACCTGCGTAACCCTAAGTCGTTCATTTTGAGCCGCAGCCATTTGGGCTGACTTTCGAAGCCTTCGGCTGCCTCGGCTCGCGAGGCGCGGCTGGCGCCGCTGTGGCGCCTCAGCGCGCCGCTGCCGTGGCTGGCGCTGGGCCGCGCGCTGGGCTGCAGCGCCATCTGCGGGGCGCTGGGCGCCGCAAGCGGCGCGAAGCGCGGGGAATGCGCGCCGCTGGCGCTGCCGCCCGCAGGAGAAACGCGGGGCTTTCTCTGGGGTCATTATTTTGACTGTTTCTGGGGGTTATCCAAGTGTGAGTATGTGGTTCAAAGTCAGAAAATGTGTTTTCCTTTGACCCACCACTTTGGGGGTGACTTTGATCATGGTAAAATAATGAGGCCGGCTTCGCGTCTTTTCTTTGGGGGGGGCAAGCCCTCAAGAATGGGTGTTCTTCCGGGTTTTTCCCTGCAAACCCACCAGGAAAAGGGATATCCCTGAAAAAACATATATATTCTTGGGGAAGCTGCACGATGCCTATGAGGTGGCTTTTTTTTGGGTTGTTTTCTCACTCACTGCGTGAAGGGACTTGAGTCACTCTTTGGGTTGCACCAAACTCACTTGAGCCCTTCGGTTTCTGTTTAAACCAGCCCCAAAAAGGGTACCCTGACTGCACTTCCAGATGTTTAGCCAGGGGCTCGTAGAGTGTAATGGGCTTTGTTGCATGTGGGAGTTTCTCAAAATGATGTATGCACTGTACAGAGAAATCCAGATACTACAACTCACTGTTCGAGGTGGACTTTAGTCACTTCTTGGGTTTGGTCCAAATTTTAGTGGCGATTCCAGGAAGTTTGGACTTTGTTGTGCCATCCACAGAAGTGAGGAAGTAGTGGGGGCTACTTAGACCATCACCCTCTACAATTTCCCAAAAGCAATTCAAAGGGGATTGGTTTTACCAGATCTCGTAGTGAACGCCCAGACTACTTTTACACTTTGTTAACTTATGGTCATGACAAGTGATGGCTTTAAAGTATATACCCGGTTGAGGCCCTTGGATTTGCCAGGGTTCCCCATATTTCCCCTTTGATTTGTTTTAAAATTGCCTGTCTTTTTTTGATAGGCACCATTAGGGGACCCTTGTTTTCCTACAGAACCTAACAATTACAAGGTATAGAATCGTATAGAACCCCTTTTTGGGACGTCTTAAAGTGGCCAACGTATCCTTGGTCTTTTGGGTCTTTCCTGGGTGCTACATTGCTACGTAGCACCATGTTTTGTAGGGATTGTATTTCGTGCAGGGGACAAACATTCAACTTCCGGGAATACAAAACTGGAAAGCAAAGGAAGACATGAACTTCTGGTTTCAGTGGTTTGGGCTTAGTCAGAAGGCATTTCGGGGAGTGGGCCAGACCCTCAGTTTAGTTTCAATCAACATAGAGTTCCATCTATCAGGCAACCTTTGATCATATTGGTTTGGATGGGTTGGGATTGCAGCCCCTGGACACCTGATAATGTTCTGCGCGGAGGTGTTGCACCTCCGGATGTTTGCCTCAGCTCGTAGAGTGTAAGGGGATTTGTTGCATGTTGGAGTTTCTCAAAATGGTGTATCTCCTGTATAGAGAGACCCAAATTGAAGTCCCTTTCGGGAGACCCCTATGTTGAGAAACACGCGGGCGCGAGTCTGTGTGCGTGTGTGCGTTGGTTTTGTCAGGGTACCCGTTTTGGAATGAGTTTCAAGAGTAGCCAGCAGGCCACCGCCGAATCTGGGCCTGAGTAGTATAGTCCTCAGGCAAAAGCAGGCTGACAAAGGGGGGTTCGCTTCTTTTCTCATTTCCCAAAACATAGAAGTCATCTGGAATTCCCTGTTACCGCGCAATCAACCGCACCCTCGCAAAAAAAAAAAAAAAAAGAAAGAGAACCTGCGACCGCCAACTGCGACGCAGTCGGCCCTTGGTTTCTAGCGTTTGGCGGCAAGGAACCCACCCCTTTGGGTTCGCGCGGTCCTTCTCGCCGCTAAGGTTGACGGGGGTGCAGTGGCTGCTGCTGGGGGCCTCCTCCGTGGCCACAGACCAGGACTCGATGCGCGAGCAATGCGAATTGGACGTTTGGGCTTCCCCGTTTTGGTTTCCCCATTTTTTGTCCAAGCTTTTCAAAGGTGAGAAGCTTTTGATCCAGGGTCCTTTTGGCAACTTAACGGGCAGAAGGGTAGCAAGGGAGAGTCCCAGCCAAACGGGCAGTTTTCGCCAGAGCCAGAGGGCTGCTTTCTCCGTTTCTAATTTGAAGGGATGCTTCTTGGAGGATTAGTGTGGAGATGAGGAAAACAAAACAAAAAACACACGCCATTCTGGTGGGGTACTGGTCTCCAAACAAACCCTCAAAAAGGTTGCAAGAGGATCTGTGAGGGGCGGTTCCTTGATGGGGTTGTGTCACAATGGTTGTGTAAAATAAACCAAATGGAAGACTGGTTTGTGGGGATCCGTGGGATCCGTAGGCGCTGCACTACGGGCTCTTTTTGTGCGGAGCGGTGTGCGGCCTCGTGGCGCAGCGGTCCCTGGAGGCGGCAAGCGCTCGTCTTGAAGCGGCGCTTTGGATGATGAGGTTATCCTTTTTATTATTTGTTTTTTAATTTTAAGATTCAATTTTGTTTTGTTTGGCTGCTATATATATATATACACATGTGTTTAATTGAAACCATGTATATTTAGTTTGGCTGGAATTGCCCACCATATCCGTACCGTCTGTCCAAAGTGGATAAATGTTTGGCTCCGGGATTTTTGGGTCACTCAGATACGTTCTGTCCAACTAATGTGGACAAAAACGTGGGGTTTCCAAAACTATTCTGTCAGCTCCATTGTGGTATATTGTCGGGCCCGGGTATATACAGCGAGAGGTGTGATTGGAGTTTGACATAGTTTGACCCTGCTTCGACTTCCTTAGTAGTCAATGCCACCAAATGATATGTCTCCTAAGTGGAATGTCCTCAGCATGAAAAAGTAGATACCCATTTGGAAAACATGGGACGAACCCCAAGTTTCTCACAAGCCAGTACATGTCCCATGTCCTTAAAGGAATTCCATTAAGTTGACCATGGCTCATGTCCTAACATAGAGAACCCTCCTTTCGGTTGGTTTTGGAGGGGAAACTGAGAGAACAACCACTTGGAGGGGGACTACCCCAAATATTGACACTGGGCACCTTCTCAGTTGACCCTTTTGCTTTCAACAGCCATCCTCAAATGAACGTATAATATGGAATCTCGCTTGATACGAGTTTGCGCCATTTTGACAGCTAGTGGACTTTTGCACTTGTTGGGAATATCGTTTTAACGGCACTTTGTGGTTGTCAAGGCGAACGTTTATTTGCTGCTTCGATGCGAGCATATTTTGTTGATTCACTTCAACCCAACAAGTATCTTGGCACCTCCTAAGGGTGTAGCTAAGAGGTCTGCAAGGGGTCAAGTGATCAAAGAGGAGTCAACCAGTGGTTAGCGAAGGGTCCAACAGGTAGCGTTGAAATAGGGTTAAGCAGGGTATCAAAGCACCCTTGCGGCATGCTGCGCGCTTCGCAGGCGCTGCTTCCACGGCGCGCCACGTCGCCGGCGGTCGTGGACCGCTTGGTGATGGTGCTGGCGCTCAACTGGAGCGCCTCCGGCAAAAAGACCCGCTCTGGGGTTGTTTGAAAGGGAACCACGGGTATACCACCCATTTTAGGGGTTGTTTGAAAGTGAACGGAAACGCGCGGATTTGTTGGTTGTCGGTGGGTCCCTCTTTCAGAGAACCCATTTCTCGAAAGACCCACGGCTTTTTCCTCCCAAAAACCAAGGGGTTGTGAGGAGACACGGAACTAGGTTGACCTAACTTTGGGGGCAAGAAGATTGCTTCATTGGCATGTTTCTGGGAATCTGCAGAAATGTACGAATCTATATAGGCGGATTCTCCATGATCTATTGTTTTCTGCCATCGTTCCTTTTTGAAAGCCATTGGTTTCCTCGGGCTTGGGGCAGATTTTCTCAAATGACCGGGGTTTGTGTTTGCTTTGAGGGTACCCATTCGGGGTTGCAGGGAAATCTTCGAAAGGTCGATCACAACTGGATACTTGCTGTGTCCATTCGACTTAAAGCAAATCGAGGAAACCAAGAGGCGGCAACCAGAAGAAGGAATCCAACAGCGGGAATCCAACGGCAGGAATGCAACTGGAGGAATCCAACTGGAGGCAAGCAAAAGGAAGCCTGAAGCAAGTGGAGGAAAGGAATCCAACTGGAGGCAACCAACCTGAAGCAACTGGCGGAATCCAAGACGAGAAGCCCCATGCACCCCAAGGCATGAGCCTGACAACCACGGGCCTGTGGTTCCTCACCGAGACTCTGGGCGCGGCGGGTCTCCATGCGCCTGGGATTCCTGTTTTTTGGGTAGGCGAAATATGTTTGTTTGTTTTTTTGTGTGTGTTTCCTTTTTCCGAGGGTACGTCGTTCTGGTGATTGTACAGGGACTTCAAAGAAATCCTTTTGTTTTTTGTTTTTTTTTTGGGGGGAGCGGGGGGTTCTAAAGAACGGCTCAGACATAAGGGACCTCCTTTTGGATGGTTTAAAGGGAAACCAGCAACAAACATCTACCTGGAGGAATTGGTCCCCAATTTTGGGAAACACCCATATGGAACAAAGTCGCAAAGTATGTTGATTTTTGGAACAGGATCCCTGTTTTTGTCCCGCTGCCAAAGGGTGTCGAGTAAATTGTTTGGCAGAGTACCAGAGCGGCACCCCCTAAGTTAGATCCATGTAAGAATTAAGCCCGGAACAAATCAGGAACCCCTCAACCAGACATGTTCCCTTTGTGGGTAGGGAACATGATGCCTAGACGGATGCCCCACGTCTTTTCTCACCCAGTGAGGATGTTGCCAAGGTTGGCTTCCTGCGGATGAGTGCCTGCAAGTACTTGAGCCTGAACTGTGCTCTCGCAGCTCGGAGAGAAGTGGCAGCTGGAATGTTGAGGGCTTGATTTGTTTGGGGGGAACTCTGGTGGATGACACACCCTGTCTTCCGCGAACATGCCACCCATCAGGGGGTCCCTCCAAGAGGAAACTTATCTTCCAGGTACCCGCCGACAGGTGCCATGTTGGTGGGAGAAAGGGCAAGCGGTTTTGTGTTTGGGGGGAGATGTGTCCAGTGAACCGCCTCTATCTCCAACTGCGAGAACTACATCCAGCGCATTTATTGAACCGCAATCAAAGGTACCTTTCGTCTATGGAGGGTTTCTAGGTTTTACACTGTTCTCTAAGTGGAGTTTCATTCTATACCACTACCCTAGGGGATTTATGAGACACTTTCTGGCAACTGTTCTCAAGGCACACACCCATTTTCCCTGCATAGCCTTTTTCCCATGTTCGCTTTGTGCTTACGTGGGACAGGATCTACAGACTAGCATGGAACCCCCCCCAACCCCCCCAAAAGAAACCCATCAGTTTTCAGAGGAATCTCCGTTTTTTCGAACACCGTCTTTGGGTTCCATGTGAATTTGCAGAAAAGTGTTCCTTGGCTGCAAGGACTTGCTTTGGGTGGTGGGATGCGGGCACCTGCTGCTGAAGAAGGAGAAACCGGCCGGGGGCGGGGGGAGCTTTTGGGGGGCCTGTGGAGCTTGGGGCAGAGAGACCAACCAAATGATTCCCCCTTTGTGAAAGCATTTGCATGCGGAACCTTCCTCAAAATCTTATCAAGTCATTGTATTCAAGCTAACTACCAAGTTATTACATGTGGTCACACAACCGTTTGTATGTGTATGCACTTGTCTGCATGTATATATAATATGTAAAATGGCTATGTCCATGTTTATGTATTTGTCTACGTATCCGCGTATATGCACGTATACAAGTGTATGTATCAACACAATGTACACATATAATGTACATGGTGTACATGTCATACATATTATATGAAGCTATCATGCGTGACACACCTATTATACAGAGTACATATGAAACATATACCTCATATGATACACATAATGCATATCATACACAGGATGCACACGATTTTTGTGTATATATATATATATTATGTCCGTGCATACATATTACCTACCTTGCCTCACCTTGCCTCACCTCACCTTGCCTCACCTTGCTTTGCCTTGCCTTGCCTTGCCTTGCCTTGCCTGCTTGCTTGTTTGGTCCATTCAAGTGAACATTCGAGGGGTTCTCAAAATTGCCCATTTGGTTGCGTCCACTGTTTTCATATAAGCTGCCATTCAGGGGGCCCTCTTTCGGGTGCAAGGGTCGGTATATAAGGGAGGGCCGTTGTGCCAGGAGCTGCTGAAAGAGATGAGCGCCTGACCGGTCAATCGCATGCCGCTCCAGCTGGTCCAAAACCAACCCCTGACCTTTAGTTTGAGGGTTTTCCACCCGTGGCCCAGAATTCTGGGTTGATTCTTGACCAAGTTCCCAGCTTTCGAGAAATTGAGTTTTGAACTGCGCCCACGATTGATTGGCTTGTGTTTCGGACCCTGCTGGGACACGAATTCGAGCGTCCTTGCATCCGGGCAAACGATGCCTTGGACGAACTTGCCTGGCCAAGATGCCTAATGCGTAGTTGCTTTGTTCGAAGTGCAGATAGATAGTTGACAGCACAAGATCTGGGATGGCATAACGGTTTCACGCATGCGGCAATTCGAGCTCGCCTGGGGGTAAACCGAGCTCGCCATGATGGCTTCTATTGTTTGATTGCCACCAAGCGGAACAACACGCACGGGTTCCTCTTGAGGAGCACACGACCCACCCCTGGGATTGGTTCCATTCGGGATACCCATATGTCACTTGGCTGCTGACGTCACAGCCCGTTGGGAGATCGTTCGTGTGTGAGAGCTGACAAGTTGGATCGTGTCCGCCGTGCCAGCATGCGGAAAAGCACATCTAGCATCGACCAGCCTTAAGAAGCTGGGGGTGTATACATTTAAAGTGCTGCTGTATGCGGCGGGCAAGGGAAATTGCGCAGGTTGCATCTTTGTGTATGTCAAGTGAGCCCCATGCAAAGCGATTCCTTGCAATGAAATGCATACTAAACACAGGAGGGCACTCTTTTCAGCTTGGTTAAACAGAGACCACATTTGATATAGAAGAGAACCAAGAGGAAGACAATTTGTTTGGGCTCTCCATTTTGACACGTACGCAAGTGAGGGTTGGTCTGGTAGCCCTCTTTGACGGTTACTGGAGAAAAGACATGGACATGAGGCTATCACAAAAAGAGAAAAACAACTAGCTGGCTGCAACAACAATACAAAGTTAGGGGGTAACTTTTCGACAGGTTCTCGGAAACCTAGGCTTTCCCTTTCCAGAAGAAACAGCAACACAAGTCGCCCGATTCCTGCAGATCCTCATTCAGAGAGTCCAGATGCAAACCGAATCAATGACGAGGTGCGCTTGATTTGGGTGTTGCCTTTTCACTTATTTGTTGTTGTGAAGCACACTATACGAGGTCCGGATGGAAATGTGGGGTACTCAGTTGGTGGATGACCGAGGTTTATCCCAATTTATGTTGGCATGCCTTGGAGACAGCTCCTCCTCAAATTTGATGACTTGATATCTCCGGGTTCCCAGGTTGACCGAAAAGCAATCAACCTGAATGACTCACCCAAAGGGATTGATCCCTGCTGAATTGAGATGTCTCTATCAACCAGCCGAGCTCATGACTGATGGATCGGCCTTTGGAGTCCTTAGTTGGGTCAGGATGGACACCTTACATGGATGGGGCTTTAGATTAAGACACTTATTACATGGACACCTTATTACATGGATTATGGGCCTTATTACATGGATTATGGACACCTTATTACATGGACACTTCTTATACATGACCCCTTTAAGAAGTTCGCACTCCATAGCTGTCGCAATTCCGGGAATAGGGGTAAACGATCCCAAGGAGGTGTTCGATTTGGGAGATGAAGGTTAGTCAGGGAACATCCCAACCAGAAATCGCTGCGTTTAGCCGCCTTGTTAGTTCTTTACATGGCTCTCGGTATTGTAGTACCAGGGTGTCACTTGCTGGTGCGATTATTAGGGAGACAACCGAGTCCGGGCTTTGGGAGTGAACCGGAAGGGGATTCCCTTAAAGCAAACCAGGGATGGTTTTTCTCTCGGTCATTCCCTTTCTCCTGTCTCTCGAACCAGACCACTACAAGTCGAGTCTCCGTTTCGCGCGAGGACGAGGAGCTCTCGAAGCCTGTGTCGCTGGATTTGGGCTCCCTCTTTGCAGGCGCCCTGAGCGGGTTTTGGTTCAGCTGGAAGAAGAGACAGCCGAGACTTGGGGTTTAATCTGAATCTAGGAAGCGAGTCACTTGTATGAGTGGACTGGTTGATATTTGTTCTTGTTTCTATTTGTAAGGTTGGGATAATTATAGTGCACAATTTGTTGCAACCACATATTGAGTCACTGGCAATGCTCTTGGTAGTCTACTGTGTTGGTTTGGGGAGGACGGGGACTGGAGGCCGTGCACCCCACTTTCAATTGGTTGCCAACCCCGTCGCAGCAATTAACCATCGAAGCCTGTTGAGTGGCGAGATCCTCTCTCCACCCATTCTTTGTTCCTCAACCCCCGAAACCCCGGGCGAGAAGGGTCTAAGACAGGGATCGCAATATCTGCCCTTTTGGTGGTTTCAAGCATCGCCTTGTGAGGACGTAACTTCGAACTTATTTCATGCTATTTCCTCTTGGTGGGGTGATGTTTAACAGTGAAATACAGGGAAACTGTAGTGGGCCCTAATATGGCTGATTGGGGTCTATGAAAGTCGGTTGGTCGCAAGGGGGCCCTGTACCTAACATGCCCTTGCTCTCATGAGTGCCTTTTGGGGGGTTCTCAAAATTGTTTCCCGGGGCGGTAGCGGACGCAGAGCAAATACAGGCCAGGGAGGCCCTGCAAAGTGTACACTTCCTGTGGGGTACCAGCCTGTCTTCTCGAAGGTGTCCATTGAGATCAGTGACTCCACTTCCGAAACACCTCACCCTTTAGGTCAGGGTGCCGCTGTTTTGGTTTGTTTCAATGCGCGACGAAGAGGAAAGCACTCATTACGGATGTCCTTTCTCTTGATGGCTGGAGGCCCTACCTTGGGTTTGCACGTGCCTAAATGGGCTGTGAGGGTGCCCTTTTGGGGTTGGTTTAAAGGGCAACCAGCAGGAAACCACCCACTTTCGGGCTTCCTGTTTTGGCACGTACCAAATGTGGGTGCTCCCTTTTTCGTGTTGATTTGGGCGAAGTATGGCACTCGCATGCACCTTTTATTTGGGAGAGTTTCTGACAGGTAGACTTAGCAAACGCCAAACACCAAACCATACTAATTGCTACCCTACAGTTTAAAAGTTTAACATGGAATCCAAAACCCCACCATTTTTTAGACCAATCTGCTTTTGGGCGACCCCTCCATGCCAATGTGTGGAGTAGTTTGTCATGCTCGGGTGAGGCATGGTCGTGACTTTTGCGAGAGGTACCTGGTTGGTTTCGTTCAACCTGCGCGAGGTACAGCGGCATGAACGAAGTCGCTGGCTGTAGAATCTTTTGATTGACGTGAAGCCCAAGCAATATGATATCATTGTTGGAGGATTCTTTTCCTGGAGGAGCCTCTTTTTTGGGCTTTCCAACAATGATGGAAGTGGATATGAGGTCTTTTCAAGACTTCCAAAATGATCATAGAGGCAAACACGTGATCATTTTACTTAATTTCTGGACCAGCGCTATTTTACGTTGTAGGCGAAATATGCAAGAACATGGATCTGGACACGTGATTTTCAGTGTCATTGACCACGTAGTTGTAAAGATGTCCCACCCCCTAAAAGCATCAAACAACCCTGAAAAGGATTACTTTCGGACCTTGCCCTGTCCTGTTCTTTGATGCCCCACTAGACTATTTTTTGTTGGGCCGATCGAGGCGCGCAAATCACTTCGGTGTCGGAGCGTGGCTTGGGCGCCACCATCACCAAGGACGAGTTGGAGTGCCTTGGGCGGAAGTTAAGCAACGCGCGGAGAGTGGGTTGCTTTCGGCACTCCCCAAGTTTCCGGACTGAACGTTCGTATGAAGTAGGACAACCAATGCAGCCTTGAATTGGGCGATGCCGTTTTGGGAGATGACCCCATTTGGGTATGTCTTTTCTTAGGAGTCGGACCCCTCCAAAATGGTTTCGGTTGTTTCCTTCAATGATGAGTTTCCTTTCACTTCAGACCACAAAAAAAGGGCTACCCTGGAGAATGAAGACACACCCGAACAACGCCAGACGGATGCATCAGGACAACCAAAGCACCCTATGGATCATGTCCTAAATGGGGCACCACTTCATTAGTAGTCCCCCGCATCAAAATCCGAGGTGAACATCGGCGTTCCTGGGCCTTTTAACTTTTTGAGAAGACCATTTCCCAGAGGGTCCAAGTACCTTCTAAGGAGGTACTTAGACCCCTTTTCATCCCCCAAAAGCCATCCTCAGAAGGTACTTGGACCTTCTGGGTTTGGTGGTATAGAAAAGTTGAGTCTTTGGCCAAACGCAGAAAGTGAGCTACACCCTTGGAAAGGAGCAGATTTCCCACACCGGTTTGCTTTCCTGGGGATGACTCGAGTTCGAGGGAAGAAACACCTGCTTTGAACGTGCACATGCGGAGAAGTCACTGACGTGGAACCCATCCAAAATCCATATCCCCTGCAAACCATGCTGGATGAGGGCCTTCGCATGTTCCCACCCTGATTGCATCGTCGTGAAACACTGGGAATCCCCCAACATGGGTTACCCCGTTGGTTTTTCTGCAAACGCAGCAGCACCAAACAGGATGCCATCGACACAAGACACCCAAAAATAGAACCTCCGGCACAACTTCTCCACTTTGAAAGGAAAGGCTCCACATTGTGCATGTTAAGCTCTGTGCAGGGCGCAAAAGCTTGAGACGGAGCATGGGCTCGTTGAGAATCAACTAGAGCTTCTATGCTCGCATGACTAGGTGGCAGGTCATGTCAACACGAGAATACAATAGTACAGAGCTTGCAAAGCACGAGCTGAACCAGGCTGTGAGAAGAGGAGAGCTTTTAGGTCACATGCGGGTGACGAGGCATGCATGCATAAAAAGGGCCGTAAAACGAACCCTGGGATCCCAAAGACCTTGTATATGAAGGTCTCGCCTGAAAGGCCTACCCCCAGGATCCTGCCGAAAAAAGACCGGGGTTTTTGAGGTCTCAAGTTTTGGATGATTTTAGACACCCTCCATAAACATGATTTGGGCATGTGGACATTGAGACTCTCGCTCGCTCTTGCTGCACAAGATGATTACGCATATATTCATTGGGCACACAATTTGGCCAGCATG